GCAGACAGAACTGAGGAACACGACCTCTGCCTGCACGCAGGGTATATCTTGAACACATAACTGATACACTGAGAGATCATGAAACGCTCCCACAGGTCCTTGCCCATTTCTGCATTAAGGCAGACGTACTTTTGAGAAAAAAAATACACGTTGCTTAACATTAAAAATGACACACTGCTGTGCCCACTGTAGGTCCCCATGAGAACTGTCAGCAAAGCAGAGATGCTCACTAGAGAAGATTCACCAAGAGGGTTAGGAGGCACCGTAGCCTCCTATGTTGAATGAGGAGATGGCAGCTGAGCTCACATAACCAAGAGAACAGACTGTTACAGTCCACCATATCTGAAATTTTATATGCTCCTCACCACTGTCCTTCAGAACTGCCAAATCAACAGTTATTGGGAAGTGAAGGTATTAACGTTAGGGCCACTGCATCAACAGCAAGCTGAAGGTCAAACAGGTGTGCCTACCAATGCAAGGTGAATAACTATGAACTTTCATAGTAAAAGCATCTTACATGGGTAAAACATAATCAAAATGCTCACATGAGTAATTTACATTTTCCCAGGAAATGCCAGTGTCTCCAAGTGACACCCAAAGAACTGGGACATGAGCAGTTAACAACACCATGTTGGAATTGTGATGACTGATTTCTACGTTAAAAGAAATAAAAGAACAGTTGAAAGTCAAAAAACCCACTTACCTGCTTCATCTCTGCTTGCTTCTGAATGCCAGCTCCAATACTGTATAGGGTCTTCATCAGTTCCATCTGCTGACTTATTATTTCAGCATGTTCTTGGAAGCAGAAGAGGTTGGTTGGAAGAGACCCCTGGAGACTTCTGGCCCAACCCCATGCACAGAATGGGACAGTAATAAACACTCATCAACTGGCTTTGCCTGGCTGACTCTTGGTAACCTCCGTGGATGGAAATCCCATTTAAATGTCACTACATCAAGAAACAGTACACTGTAGAGTTGTCTAAACTATTATTCTCTTCGCCAAACAACTTGACTTCTGTGCATTTACTGTAACGCTGGAAGACAAAAATCCTAATGCTTGAGTAATGACTGCAGATGAGGCATTAAGAATGCTAGCTACATGCAGAGTTATGCTCTGCTGTTCTATCTGGAAAGAAGCCAAACAGCAGATGATAGAATAAATATATAAATGAAAGCGCATATTTTCTGATAACTGAGATGGAATTGCTCTGGGTTACTCATTTAAAGAAAAAAAACATGGTTATAGACAAACATATAGCCAACAGCATGCATAAATGTAACTGAATAGAACTACCAAGTGCAGAAATAAGAATTCAATTTCATTCAAAACAAGTAGCTACACTGCGAGAAGCAGACAAGTCTGCATTAAAAAAAATAATCCTTCGGTTTGTTTAAGCTCAAGACATTAAATGATTAAAATCTCATTACGGCTTTGATATGAGGCTCAGCAGCAGGCACAGAAAATGCACCCCAAGTTGCCAAGCCTCAGGTGCTGGTGCTGCTCAGCCTTGTCCAAGGCAGGCAGCACTCACCCAGCTCTGCTCCCAAGGCCCAGCACACAGCAGTGCAGTGCATTCTGCCCACCTGCATGGCACCCATCAGCCACAGGCTGCCAGGTGCTGCTGCTGTGGTCACCCTGCCCACTTTCCATGCTGCCCACACTGCCTTGCCAAAGCTGATTACACCTCATCTTGCAGACACCAGGGCATGGCTGCATGCTGACCTCCACTCAGTCAGCAGTGTGGCAGGCACACACAACAGCTTTGTTTTCTCCAGGCTGGATTTTCTTACTGAAAAAAGCAGCGTGCTGGTTCTCCTTTGCTGCAGCCAAAAACAGACAGGAGATCTCACAGGAGCTGATTTTGTTTATTGCTAAGGCTAAATCTGACGTTGGCAGGCAGGAGCTTTTCCAAAGGTCTGTATACACAAACATCTGAAGCCTATGATTTCTCAGATGGCTAAGAAAAAAAAAAAAAAAATCACCCTGGAGCCAAGAGACTGTGGAATATTAATTCAGAAGCAGACTACATTGTCAACATTCTAACAAACTTCCAGAGAAATGACTAACTTTTGGTAATTACTGAAGACAAGGCTACAAAAGACAATCCACATGGTCTTTCCTTATCTTCCTGTGTTTTCATGCAGAGGATAACTTTCCAGAGTCTGGCAGATTCTCCACAGGGCAGCTCAAAGCAGAACCAAATCAGAGTATTCTTTAAGATGCAAGGCATTTATTTCCCCTCTATCACAGGATCAGAATCACAGAATTGCTCAGGTTGGAAAGGACCTTAAAGATCATCAATCAAATCCAGCCACAACCTAACCAGAGTACTCTAACAACCCTCTGCTAAATCACGTCCCTGAGCACCACATCCAAACTGTTTCTAAACACATCCAGGGATGGTGACTCAACCACCTCCTTGGGGAGCCTGTTCCAGTGTTTAACAGCCCTGTCGACTTCTGTAAAGAAGTTTTTCCTGATATCCAACCTAAACCTCCCCTGGTGCAACTTGAGGCCACTTCCCCTCATCCTGTCACCTGTCCCCAGTGAGAAGAGACCAGCCCTGCTCTTGCTGCAATCACCTTTCAGATACTGGAGGAGAGCAATAAGGTCTCCACTTAGCCTCTTCTTCCCCACACTGAACAGCCCCAGTTCCTTCAGTCGCTCCTCATAGGGCACATTCTCCAAGTCCTTCACAAGCCTCGTTGCCCTTCTTTGGACCTGCTCCAGCACCTCAGTGTCCCTTCTGTATTGAGGTTACCACATATAAAACACACTGCCACCAGCACAAGCATCTAGCATTTCAGAACATTTAGAAACACAGTCCTGTCTTCCTAAAAAATGGCAAATTGGAGAAACTCACAAATTTAATAGGCTCTATTTAAGAGGATTGACTCAATCATTTGAGAACTATAAACCTACCTGTTTTAAAAGCTTTCACATTCTCAGCCTTAATACAATAACTTATCACCTCTCTTCATCCCCCTTCTTTGGCTGTTCTGTTATTTGCAGCAACCAAGGGCCCAATGCCACTCAAGTAGAGGTGCAGCCACCTGACTGTTTGTGCCACAGCAGCACATACCTCACAGGGAAAGGCAACACACAACGTTGTCACATTTCCAGCCTGGGAAGCTGCAACAGCGTTTTCAGCCACTACCTAGTTTTGGGCACCTTGCTTCCTGATAATCAAGACAAGAGTGACTGGGACAAAACAACTAGCACAAGCCAACTAGCAGTATTTAAACAAACAAAAACCATTATCTGTCTTTTTTTTTTTTTTGGAGGTATGCATTGTAAAACTGCTGGACAGTTCAAGATCAGACACCCTGTTTCTTGGCTTAAATCTCCCATGTGCACTTAATAGGGAAAACAAGAAAAACCCTCCAAAAAGCAGAAGTAAAGCATTATCTGCTTTGTATGTAACGCAGGAAAACAGGACTACTCAGAGAATTTAACGTTTCAGACATGAGCTCTTCTGTTACTACTGTTATATCTGCTTTTTGCTACATCACGATAATCTGTATTAATAAGCATTCTCATCAGCCTAACCTTCCACAGAACTGAAACCTCTGCAGTCATCAACTAAAAGAGCTTTAACAGCTGCTCAAAGGCACCAACAGATGCAGTAACAGCAGCCACCAGTTCTGATTTCTTTACGTAATTGTAACATTTGACCTTCTGATAATTTATGGAGATCATTAGAGCATAAAAGTAATGGCTATGCTATAATCGTTCTTCCTCAGGGGCTGATGCAAAGTTATGAGAACCAATGCTAATTTTCATGCTTTAAGTTTGATACTGTTGTAAGGATTTTTTTTTCTTATGCATGTTGTTAAAAATTCAAGATTATACACCATACATACCTCAAAATCAAGAGAATTCCACTGTGCAGCTCTTCTGCATAAGGAACTGTCAAAAAGCTACCTGTCCAATCACAGCACTTAATACATGGAACTCAATCCTTTGAATACGTACATACAACAGAGCACTGAACTCTAACAAGCAAAATACAAGGGCAAGAACTATGGCTTTTTTTTTCCCCCCCATTAACCTATTTTGTGGACTCTCAAGAGGAAAATGAGTCCTGTCAATGTTTTTTCATTGCATAAGACTTCATATCTTACCAGAGGTCATTATTTCAGTTTGCATCTCTCCCTCAAGAATACTTTCCTCTGATGAAGTAGTTCAAGGACAAGTCTGTTGTAGCAAGATATAACAAATGGATCCAAGCTATGTTAGGACTTCATCAGTAAAAGCACACACTGTAAATTTACTTTGACAAGCAGGACAAATATTTGCATCACATGGCCCTACTGGAGGACAATACCGTGTACCACCGGTCACTTTCCTTTCAGGTCAACTTGATAAAAGTAAAAACTAAGCTATAAGGGATAATTATATCTATTATAATTAGGGTAAATTATGAACTTCCAAGACAGCCAACTATGTTTTTTTTAATAGTCAGATTAAGTAAAACAACTTTTTGAGTCTAAATAACATCATCTAAAATACTATATGACAAAATACTCACTGTAAAAAACATACTATACTATTATTTCAGCCATAAACACGCATCTTGTGACAACTGAAAGCCAACTTGATGAAAGGACAGAGAAATAGAAAACTACTGTCACTCCAACTGACAGTCAGCCTCTCTCAGGCACATTCCAAGACATGAGTCTGCACACAGCTCAGCACAGCTGAAGATCTTGTTAAGGTCAATCCATCTCCCTTACAAAGAACTTACAACTCTGAAAAACCATCTCAGACACCAGACTCTGACAAAATGCATTCTGCATTTCCTTGCCAGAAAGCTGGGCATTGTTTTAATTTCAATAATTGAAACGGGTTTCCAGTTAGGCATCTCGTATGTGTATTTGTATGCATGCTTGCCATGATACCCTTACCCATTAAAAAATACCACACATGTAGCAGTCAGGCTGAGTAGTTAGCAGGCTAAACAATCTTAAAAGAAAAAAGGTTACTTCTAGAACTTGCATGCTTTGAATGAAACTTCAGTTGTTGTTTTGCTTTATTGTGAAGGAATTCTTCGTAAGATTCTGACCAGTGCCACAGCCAGTTTATTTGTACATACCATTTTTCTATTTCAAAGACAGGCTTCAGATTTTACTGGTGCATGGTCCATTGCCAGCAACAGACACACAAACCCACCAGTGAAACCGAAAAGTAGTAACAATAAGACACGCTTGAAGAGAATTTTTTTTAATATAGTTTTCATTTAAAAAATAAAATAGGTGAAATTTTAAAATAGGAATCCCAACTGAAATTTTAAAATATTCTTCCATGCTAAAAGCCAGAGTCTGGATGTGAGCCTCATGGAAGCCACACAGAAGTAACATTGAAAGAAATTTAATCTTTCACATTATTTGTACTGATATCTTTACTTTCTTGGCTTATGTGACTGTTGGTATTTTTACTAAATTGATCTGAATCCTCACTTTTATTTTCTATTTCCATAGCACTGCTTTCCATAGGACGGTGGTGAGATTCTCCACCTACTTCTGCTTCCATTTTAGTGACTGCATCCCGTTCTTTATCTTCCACATCCATTCCTTCCTCCATTTGTGCTGGTCTGCACTGAACTTCCTCCTCTGTTTTACTTTCTGATTCCCCCTCTTTCCTCTTTGCTTTAAACACTTCAACTCCCATCATCCTCAGGTAATGAAGTCTCTCATTCTTGGGCACAAAGGCACGGAGCGATGTCTTTCCTTGCCAGCCACAGAGCACTACAGGACACTGAAGATCATCAGGTTTTCTACAAACAAGCAGTTACTTCTGGTCAAGTAGGAGAAAGAATCTTGAAAACAATTTTACAGCCGTAGCTTGAATGTACAACAATTAACAGCAAACACAGCTTATAGCTATTTCTTGAAGAATCATAGAATGGCCTGGGTTGGAAGGGACCCCAAGGGTTCATCAAGCTCCAACCCTCCTGGCACAGACAGGGCTGCCAACCTGCATGTGTAATATTAGAGCTGCCCTGGGCCACATCCAACCTGGCCTTGAACAACTCCAGGGACAAGGCATCCACAACCTCACTGGGCAGTCTGTTCTTGTAAGATGTATGTATATTGTTCTGAACTTCAGTATCTAAACACGTACCTGCTTGTCCCAGCATGCAAAGCAGCAGAAACCAAAACCAAACCAACTTCAAGACTATCCACTTCTACAACAGGTAAAATGATTTTCTGGCTCTGACACAGTTTCTAAAACTAATTTAAGCAACAGTGCGATGAACTTCACATTTAGAAAGATTACTCACAGAGCTTCCTAAACTGCTTAGGCAACAAAAACGAACAAAGAAATGTTTATCTTTTTCCTATTTCTTAAAAGAGAAACAAAAGCATCACATGCAGTGATGCTGAACATCTGTGGTAGAACAAGTAGCTCTCCTCCATAAAGCTGAACTCTGCAACTGTTTTTGAAGGGGCACAGGCAAAGATAGCCTTAGATCTTATTCTATCTGGCTTTACTGCTGACCTCACTACATCTCTACTGTTGGGTTTTTTCCCCTGACTCAAAATAAACTGCTATGCCAACAGCAGTTTAAGTAAGTAAATGGAAAGCTACATATGTACTTACTCAGGGTCTGGCTCATACTTCAGAACTATACTTCCCATTGCTGGAGTACAGGGAGAGAGGAAAAAAACAAATGGATATGTTACTTAGTACAAGGTTAGTGTCAAATGACAGAAATCAGAAAAATTTTGAAGAAATCAAGTTTCTAGACAGCCATACAGCATGACTTCAACAGCTGGTTAGCAGCTACCTGCATCAATAAGAAATTACAGATACTACCAGTGGTTTGAGGTTTGTTTTTTGTTCAAACCAAAATATGCTTAGGACTTACAGAAACATCTGCCAAAAAAAAAAAAAAAAGCCCCTAAATCAAACAAATTAAGATTCAGAACCACAGCATATTAATTCACTCAGTAAATGTAACAAGGAATTTTTAGATAAAATAAAGCAAAATAGCATATGGCAGCCTGAACTTCAGAAAACGTGTTTTTCTCCTATTTTGCCTCATCAAACCCAAAGTACAAGAACCAGCAATCACTTGAAAGTAAAATGATATAAATAAAGTGAAAAATGTCTCAATTCCTTCAAGCACTCAGCACAGAGGAGAAAAGTTCAAGTACACATTACTCCCCACATAAGAAAATGAGACGTGTACCTAAATTTGATACACAGAACCATGAGAAACAATTGTATATGACAAAATTTCAACTGAGCAGCAAAGATTCGTAGAGAACCTAAAATCTTTCTTCTGTTATTTCCTGTGCTCCTTCACAGGACTGCTGCATGAAGTCACTAACCTGGCAACTCTCCAGCTCCCAGGAGTTCATAAACCTCAAAAGCTGTGACCAGAAAGAACTACAATTTCTAGTGGCACACTGGGCTTCAATAACACTTAATTACCTAATTAACAAGTTTTAGGATAATTTTAGAGGGTTTTTGTGTGTGTTTTGTTTTACAGCAGACACAGTTTACACGTCAACAATTTTTTCTGGTTTTCCATTTTAAACAAACTAAATGATCGTTTTGTCATATCGCAAACTAGAAGATATCAAACTGGAACATATCGCAAACTTACCCATGTCTTTGACTTTCCTCTGTGTTTCACTGCTGAATTTGCTTAAGAATGGATTTTCCTGGGTTAGCAGTATTTTAACATCTTCTATGCAGACATTTATAATCCTTGCATGAATGAATGGGTATAGAGTATATATTCCCTGTTCAATAGATAGATATAATTATTTCAAAATGTAGTTTCTACTTCACAAAGAAAAATGTTCAAAACAGCATCTGCTTTAGCCAATACCAGAAAGTATTTTTTTTAATTTTAAAACATACTGAAAATGCAAATTACTCAATCTGACGAATTCAGGGCCAGCTGTGCTCTAAGCTAAAGAGAAAACCAAGGTATCTCCTTTGAAAATGCACAGCTTTGTAATTACCTCCTGTGCTAATCTGAAGGCACATCCAAACTGCTCACCATCGCTGTTGCGAGACCAGACTTTTATTCCTGTGTTGATAACCTGCAAAAGGCAGAGCCAATAAGCATTATTCAAAGGTATAAATTGTAAATTATCACTCTGAGCTTTGTTTTTCCTCCATTGTTTGACAAAAACTAGGAAAAAGGTTGACTTCACATTTGCTCTTTGGACTGGATACTCATTTAAATTCATATGAAAATTCACTCAAGGGAAAAAGAAATTCCCACCAGCAAAATACAGCTCTCTTTCAAGACAGATAATTATTACTCCTTTCCATGTTGAAAATACCACAGTGAAGAAAAGGTAGGCTTAAAATGAGGGCAGCAACTATCGAGATGTCATTTTAATCAGCGTTTGAATCAGAATTTTCTATTTTGAAAACAAGAGATGCTTAAAATTAGGATGCCATAAGATCTGTGGTACCCAAAGACTTACTGTCTAAATAGTAGACTTTCGTTCCTTAAAATTTTGTCAGTTATGCAGCCATTTCCTGCATGTGGAATAAAAACATAAGTATCCATCTTGAAGATCTGATGCAAATGTTAACTGAATACACATGGGGATTTTTAGGATTCAACTGTATGTGGCCTTGAACAGTATCTGATCTATCTGATCTAGGTCAGTACATTTTATTCAATGACTTAAGACAAATCTTTAGCATTTGCAATGCATTTTTGTGGGGGATTTTTATTAACCACCACAATGAATAACTTTTGTGAATTAGACATCTCATTACTGTTCAGCTTAACAGTTTTTCAGTTTTTTGAAATTACTTTCAAACACTGTTTCCATATAACAGGGCCAGGTAATGGACAACTTGAGTTGAATTATTATTTTTGGTAAGCTTTCAAAAAACTTGTACTGCTTCCTAATATTAAGAGGATCATATAACTACAGCAGCATCAACACAAGCTTCTGATTATTTGTGAAGGTACCTGAAGACCACAGAACATTTCTGAGATGCCAAAAAATAATATTGATTTTGATCTTGGAGAATTACATTTACCTCCCTCGAGACAGTACTTCATCTCTTAATAAAGGAGGAAAGAGAGGCAAACATTCAAAGACAAGGAATATCTGAAGGCTAATTCTCTACATGAACAGTTAAATCCACAACAAAGTTAAAGGACGCAATCACTGATGTTTTTGATCTTTGTTGCAAAGATGAACCATACCTTCATCTTCTCACTGTTGTTGAGAAGCACATTCCTCAGCTCCTTAGAAACCATGTACAGCTGTCTCTTCTTTCCTTCTTGAGTTCGAGTTAATAAATTCATCTTGGGAAATGAAGGATCCAGTGCATAAAACTTCCTATGGCCGTAATACTTGTTTTGATTAACTGAACAACAAAATTACATACACAAAACACACAGATGGGTGTCGTTGTTTAACCTATCTCTGCAAAAACCTTCAGTTAGTTGACATTAGCTTCAGTACACAAAGATCAGCATTTCAGAGACTCCTGCCATCAGAAGTGATTCAGTGTCACAGACTGTAAGATGCACTTGAACATTTCCAGAGCCAACTACCATCCACGGCCTTTAGTTGACTACCCTCTTTTAAGAAGAGTTTGAGTGCTGTGGAGATGGGCATCTAGTGCAAAGACAGGGAACAAGTTTACCTATGACCAACCAGACCCATCTTGTGTGATCAACTAAATTGCTAATATTCCTCAAACTGTTTGTTAGGAATCTTACTAGATTAAAAAAAAAACAACAACTTTTTTTTCTTACTGGATAGGAAGGAACAATGGGTCATCTTCAGGGAGAAATACAAAAGGATCTTCTTTAAAACCAAACAACTTCATTTTTTTAGATGGTGGAGGTCTAAAAAGCAAATACCATTGTCAATTTTAGTAAAAGTGATTTAGCACTGGGATATTCAACTCATTTAATCAACACTCGCTCCTATGATACTGATAATATGCCAAACTTAGTAGTGGCATTTTACTGTTCTTCAGTAAGACAATAATACATACAGTTGATTTTGTAAAATGAGGAAGCACAAGCAGTTCCTTGAGAGCAGAAGCCACACAAAGCAGACATTTGTGAGAAAGAAATTGTGGAGACAGTTTGAGATCTTTCAAAGGTCAACTTCTGAAAATAGTTATTTCCTTACCAGAGAAGAACGAACTATCAGACTTCTCAAATGCTGATACACCAGGAGGTTATTCTCCTAACTCGCTAAATTCGCAGATGTAGATGGAAAAGTACGACAACTGAGAAAATTCACTAATACTTACTGATCCACTTCTAAGAGTGAAAAACCAAAAGAGCTGAATACAACTCAGCAATTATGATGCTGTCACAGGACAAATATTTAGATAGCCTCTTACCCGCAAACTCCTTTTTTGCTCTGCTCAGTGTCTGAATTTTGCTGTTCTTGTACTTTCTTAGACTCTTCATCTTCAAGTGTTGGCTTCTCAGTAGTATCTTCAGAACCATCATCTGCATTTGTTGCTGTCGCCTCAGTATCTCCTGTTTTTTCTGGTAATTTCTGATGAACCTATTTCAAATACAGCATTTTCAACAAAGCCAAAATAGTACCTAATGAGTAACAGACGGTATCTACACCTGCTCTTTGCACACATTTAGTTCTTTCAACTACTTCTATGGAAGTGCTTAAGGAGATCCATTTAGGGAGTCTAATTACTCGAGTCCAGACGCAATCACAGGTTGCATTTACCACTAAGTATGGCTCTGAACTACTTGTGACCAAAGGTGTTTTTGTACCATGTATAAAATCACATTCAAACATTCACAGAGAAGATCATTTTAAGCTAGGATCTGCTGCTTTCCAGCACTCAAAATAACTTACTGTACATTTCCTGCAACAGTGCTACAGAGTTAAATTTAGAACAGCATCAACTATTTGGAAGATGTTTGCTTACAAACAAACTTTTCTTCTAATTGCGACAGAAGTTTCACTCAATTCTTGAAGCAAATCAAATAAACAGAAGCAGCTAAAAGGGATTGAGACAAAGTCTCTCTCAGAACAAACTGAGATCAAATGACTCATGTCAACATACAGTGCTGACGGCTGAAAAACAAAACTGACAGAAAGACATTGAAGTCAAATGGCTGAAGCTGCTGCTGCTGCTACTAACAGTTCTACATACAATCCTGCTGCTGACATCTGCTGTACTGATCTGCTAGTGAATCACTCCTGAGCAACCCTTCATAGAGTAAGATATATTGAAAACAGAATTAACTTAGAGAATAAGTAGAAAAAACAGTGTCAGCAGACAGACCACACACAACTAAAGGAAGCAACAGCTTTAGCTACCCAATCTAATCAGTGCCTATAATTCTTTCAAAGTCTTAGCTTCATATTTAACTATAATCTTGCTATTTTGCTATGAATTATTTTTTATCCTATGTCACATAGTAAATTCCAGAAATGTTACTGAAAGTTTGCATTTCAGCTCCCTTAAAATAAGTTACCTTAGGCTGGCGTTTATTCCATGGCATTGGAGATTTTTTTATTAACACAGCCACAAAAAAGCCTCCTGTGTTCTGGTGATGTGGCAGTATTCTAATGCTAGGAACAAATAACAAAACCGTGACTGCAGTGTACTCATCATCAGCTTTTGTGGCTCTCACAAAGCATTAGTGATGTCATATTTACTTTCAAGGTAAACTTAAATATCCGTATTAGCATTGCACAGATTTAATTTATCAAGGTAGAAACAGGATCTAAAATAGAGCATTCTGACAAAATAACTTGCATCAGTGCCACGCATTCATTTCACCACTCACATCTGATCTTTAATGACTCACATCTAAGCACTATTTTTAGAATAGCTATGCAAAATCTTTCATTGAAAATAAGTCAGTGTTGAAATGTTAATATTTAACACACTTTTCTGGTAATTTCACTATGCATCTCTATTGGTTGCAAAGAATCTGACATGCTGTATTAATATTTATTCCTGTAAACAGCATTCACTGGAATGTAACTATTGTGCACTACCATTACATACAAAGCAACCAAATCATATTTAAACCTGCACAAGCACAGAGCTGTACTACAACACGTTCCTAATCTGAACTCCTAATTACAATTTGTCCATCACCATATAAAGTTAAGAAATCAAAACCTCATAAAATCCATTCTGGAAAAAAAAAAAACAAAAACAACTCACCAGCGCTCTAGATTCATTGCCTTTAGCTTCTCCTCCTCTTTTATAGGAAACATTGTGGGACGTATTTGTGTTTGTCTATTTGAAGGCACGTCTTTCCACTCTTCAAACCACTGTCCATCTTTCAGCATGACCTTTAAATGAGGAAATACAAGGTATTACAAAGAACACGGATACCTTCTGAATATTATCCAGGACTTAGAATGCACCTATAAATCCACTCTAAGTTACAGCATATATACAATACTACTTTATACCACTGAAGGTTCAAAGCTTTTAAAGGACATAAGTGAAAGATTAGAGGCACAACTCTTGCAGTATGATATTCTGAATACTGTTCAAGCAAGAAGACCAAAGTGAACAACAGAAGCTTCAGAACCCTCCATGTCTGCTTCCATAGCAGCCACTAGGTCTGTAAGAAAGATCATGTGTAGGAATGCATTGGGCAAAAAGTGAAATGAAAGGTCTTCCGTGGTTTTAAGGCAGCAAAATAGGACACAGGGATGGTGACTTCAGGACTGGTAGGTATACTGAAGTGTTTTCTGGAAGCACAAACAAGTCCAGAATTACACTAAATACCAGGATAAATAACAGCTCTGTTCTGTTAGGTAACTGCTGGAAAGAACATACTGAACTCCTTTCTACTGCATATTTTGCCAGCATCTTGTCACAGCACAACAACAAATAAAAGAGATGCAGAAGTCAATTGTATCTGAAGTTAAAAGGTTATTTTCTTCAAAATTCAGAGCTAAATCACTGGAGATTACTCATCATCTAACCTAAGGACAGAGTACCAAACATCACTTGAACAGAACCTTGTTTTCCTTTTGCTGTTTTCAGAGATTCACAGCTAACCCATGCTCAGGAATATTCAGTGCAATCACTGAGTCACAGAACTTCCACTGAACAGATGTTTCACCAGGAAAGAAAAGATTGTACCCAGTGAAAAGAGTACCAAAGCAAGCTAACATGCTGAACGACAAGCTAGCCAGTGAGGCTTGAAATAATATTATAGCAGCAAATAAAAGACAACTTCCAACAAATTTTACTAGCTTAATTTCTAAAATACATATTATGGAGACTTGTATTTCAATTGCAGTCATAGAAATAAATGTCACTGAGAACAGAATATACTCTTTGCAATCTGTGTACACATTTTATAGCCTTACACAGTAAAACAAACTAAAGTAACTATCATAGAGCCACAAATGTGCATTTTACATTTATCCTTCAGCTATAAGCATAACATTTAAAATTATGGAATAAAAGGAGAGAAATCAGTCAGTTTCTAGTCTAAATTTCTAATGGCAGAGCATACGAAATTCTCTACTCTGTGCAGCCTGTTCATTACCTTGCATGCAAACACAAACCTGCAGATTATACTGTTGGAAGAGACTAGCGAAACACTGGAGAAAGATATAAACAGTGGTGTTGCAAAAGCACAGATTCATAAGTCAAATTTAATCAGAGCATCCTACTACCAGGATGGCTGCCTACTTCTTGATTATAGTGTTAACAGGAAACGAAAGAAGCTTTGGGCTCATTTGTGCCTCCCTACTCATCTGATTTAAATTCTGGAAACCCAAAAGGCCTGGAGAAAAATACAGGATTTCTATTAATATACTAAGATTACTCACACCACTGCAATTTTTGTAGGTTATTTCCATACAGAGTTTAACAGCTTTTACTTCCAAATGATTCAAATGGAGCAGCTAAACAACAGTAATATCCTACAGTAACAGACAGTAAAGGCAGAGAAGGCAGGCGAAGTTAAAAAGTGGCTGAAATGATGGCGCCATCTACAGGCCACGAGCTGAATGCAGTCAGAAAGGGAACACGTTTGAAGTGGAGGCGATAGAGCCAAGAAGAAAGCTAAGGGAAAATGAGAGCAGCTGAGGAGAGAGGCACTTAACATTGGAAAGATTTTTTTCACCCTCTTCTTTAATACCATATAGTTTAAAACTCTAAACAGCAAGTCACTAACGTTATTTCAGGTCAATCTAATCCCTCGGAATTTCACTCCACCACACACCAAGAATGTTGTAGAAATACCATATAAAAGTACCTTCCATTTTGTAATTCCTGGCATCCTCTTCAGACCTGGCAACTCAGAAGAGACATCAGCAAGTTCTAAGGCACCTGAAATCTCAGATACAAATATATATATATGTATATATATACATATATATAGAAACCAGAATTTGAAAATTGTGATCCTAATTAACTTTTATAAAAACAATTTTCCTTAAAGATTTCGGATCATTACTTTTCATGACTTCAGAGGAACAAAATATAATGAAATCACTACAGTGTAAATTGACAAGAAAGATGGTTAGAGCTGCTCATTCCAACTAAAGAAGTTTGCAACCCTACAAATCAGCCAAGAACCCATGGTGCTTTTTCTAACAGCTGCATAGAGTAGTTCTCCACAATCTATATCATTAAATGTCATTGTTCCAGGCAGCACAGTCATAGAACAGCTTTTATTTTTACTTAGTATTTGAATTCACTAAACTGGTTATGTATTTTTCAGAGGAGTGCTCTTTTGGGATGACTAAGCCTTTGAAAATGAACTGCATATTCTGATCTTATGGACTTACAACCTTAATGCATTTCAATGTGACTGGAAAAAATATTAATCAACACAGAATTATCACTGTTTAATCTACTGAGTAGAAAGTTTAAGCTAACCTATGTCCAGAAAGTATTACATAAAAATTGACTAGTGAAGAACTATCTTAACATGTCTCTTGAGATTCTGAATGGTTATTTAAATATTAGGACTACTCTTCCCCATGTTTGTTTTACACAATTTAACCATCCCTTCTAAATGAGTAACCATTTACTCTTACAGTAGCTCCATGTGACAGCTGAAGCACCTCTTTGAAATAAGTGAAAAAATGATATAGGTATGCACATCCAGAATGACATTTGAAAACTGATTCTACTTGACATTTAGGTCTTTCCTTTGAACGTTGACTACTTACAGCATGACTTCAGCTGATGCCTCAAGATGACACCAGATCAGTCAGGCATTAAAATTAAGTGTCAGAAGTACTACAATTCCAGGCAGAGGAACGGGGCATTTTCCTTTTTCCTTAAGGAGAAAGGAATCGCTAACTTGCTATCTAAGTAGCAATACTACAAAGTAACAGGTTCTCAGATAAGACAGAACCAACAAACCTTCTGGACAAACCTAAGAAAATTTTCAAGCTCCAATGCTCAAAGCAACAGGGGTAACACACTTATTCACTAGGACACCTAAATAACCTTCAAAGTACCTGTACTGAACAGATACAAGATCTGTGTGCCAAATGCAATAGCACAGTTAACATCCTTACTATCAGTAACTATCATCCACATTTTTTTTTTTCCAGTTGAACAGTAGGAAAAATGTTACTTTTTATCTCACCTTGACTCTTTTCCAGCAGAGATGCAATCACAGCTTCATTTTCAATAGGATTCAATGAACACGTAGAATATACCATTCTCCCACCTTCTGCCAGCTGTTCAACACCACGAGTTGCAATTCTTAGTTGCAATCTAAAAGAACAACCTTGGTCTAATGAAGTATCATTCAAGAACCAGAAACATTTATCATTAAATCTGCCACAGTTGAAGTTACACTACAGACACACAGATCTCCATGGACTGCAAAATCAGCACATGCCAAGCTCAACAGCTGTCAGCAGTACACCAACTAAAATCAGTTTTAAACTGTCAGCTATCTCCATACTGCAAACACACACACAATTACACCTGTTAGAAGAGCAATAAGGTCAAACATTAGCACTAATGCATGGTAGGCTTTAACATGACATTCTGTTATTGGTTCCATCTAGTGCTCCATCAAATCTATTATACAGCATACAACACTAGAAAAAATAACCGCCCAAGCCCTTATCTTCTCAAATCTAGAATTTAAAATGAAGCCTAATCTGACTGTTCCAAGTACTAAAGACAACAGAGTTTAATATTGGCCCTTACTTCAGTAAAAAGCATCACTGAGCTGGACAACCACCTCATGGCTCTTGCTGCATAGTTACAACTACAACAAACCCTGTAATTACAAATGAGTCACTAAGCAGTAACACCTCATCACAGGTCACCTGAATCATTCTAGTCGACTGCTCTCTCAGCTTGCAACAAATACAAATAAAACATTCTCAGTTTTTCAGCTGCCTTTTAATTAATGCTTTTTACCATGCACCTGTATTCACTTTCATTTAACATAACTTGGTCTTAGGTAACTGAAACCATGTAAGAGCTAAGGTTTTAAAAGATTTTATAACATCACTATTAAGTTTTATGAGCTTCTGTGATTACATAAGTTATTTTCTAACAGTATTTCACCTGCCTAAACATCATGAATCCCATTCAACTGATCTGTTCCCTACTTTGTTATCTACTCTGTAGAAATTAGTCCAGTGAATGTGAGTGTCATATATTCACACAAATACAAGAGATTTAGATTCACACACTTCACTGGAGGTTGGCCTCACATCTGAGATACTAAAACTTTCTCAGAATAACGTATGAACTCTTGATTTGATGAAAACTAAAAACCCTTTGTCATATATTAACATACAAATTCACACAAGTACTAAAAAGAAGGGTGAAAAGGAAGAGTAGAAATGAAAGATAAATAGATGTACAATAAGCACTTTTACCCATGGAGCTGCAAACTGTTTTGTGTTGTCCACTTCTTCCATACATCAATGTTTTTCCTCATGGTTCCATCTCCACTAGAAATGAAGTTGAACACGTATATATTACCTGTGGGTAAAATTTCTTCCATACCCAAAGGACTTACAGTTGAAAAGTTAACACTCCTCTCCATGGTAACTAATTCCCTTTTGCAGTACTTTCATTTCTACACTATCTTTGTTGTTCGGTAACCACATTTAAGTATCACTTGGAATGAGAAAAGGTCTCCTTGATCTGGTATTCCCTTACCTAAGACAGTTTAAGAGATCCAGCTCTTCTGGAATTTAGTAAGCAGGATAACGCTCTCGGTAACACAAAATTCTAGTACACAGAAGATACCTGCAGGGGACGTCACACAAAATCCTGTCATAGAAGAGGATCTCTTTTCTTCCATCCACATCTATTTGTAGATTAGGGATACTGGAGGCATCGTGATTTACCACCATGATACACGGACTGTTTAATCGTTTAGCCTGATGAACCAGCAAGTAGCAGCGCTTGTTGTCAACATCATTAGCAATTACAAAACCCTCTGTGAACATAAAGCAGTAGAAAGAAGTTTCACTATTTAACAATTTAATAATTTACAGCTTATTGCTCATCTTCACATTCACATAAATCTTTCACCAGATATTTTTATTTAGGAAACTACTTATGAACAGAGGACACTCTCCTGAAAGTAAATTAAACATGGTGAGGTTTAATAACTATGACCAAGACACTCTCAAATTTTCTAAGTTCAGTGCAGCTGAAAAGACACAGATAAAGTTCCTTCCACTTTTCATTCTCTGAGTAAAACCCCTGGAACAGAGATAAAGCCTTCACTGCCACTGAAGACAACCTCTGTGCACCAGATGTGTAATGCAGAAAGAACCCATCCCCAAGCTCACCAGTTCTATGGACAGTGTTTTCTGTGAGCATTTAACTAAACGTAAGTATTTGGAAGTTTAAGCCTGAAGCAACTTAAGCCAAGCGTTTGCAGGAAGCCACTAAAACATAGAGGCAGATAAGATACCACCTTCTAAATGCACTTCTTATGTATAAAAATTAAGCTGTGATCACATCTACTACAGTCTGGACTGTGAAGATAACCAACGCATCTCTCTCCTTCAAGCCGAAGAAGCCCACAGAAGTTTCAAGGACAAAGACATAGGTCCTTCCAATCTCATACAATCAACAAACTACAGAATTTAGTAGGTAGGTAAATGCAATTGCTTTCTGGGATATTAAAGGTAATCTACAAGAAAACAAAATGAAAATTTGAAGCCCCAAAGGTTTTTGATAGTTTGTCCAAACTTACTGGGAAAAGGAACATTCATGTCTGCATGCAACATTTCAATGAGCTGAGCAGTCTTAGATCCAGGTGCAGCACACATATCTAGAATCTAGAAACACAAATGGTTAAAAAAAACAACAACAAAACAAAACAAGCAAGCTATGCGCTTGAAAAAACTTACTGTGTTGTTGTTTGAACAGAATAATTATAACCACTGAGGACACTGATCATCAAGAAAAAACACAAAACTAATTCACCAAGGAATGCAGTTTTAACTCAAGTGGCTAAAACAAACGTAAGTTCTTTACCAGGAGGGTGGTGAGGCACTTGCACAGGTTGACCTGAGAGGCTGCAAATGCCCCATCCCTAAAGGCATTCACATCCAGGCTGGACAGGACCCTGAGCAGCCTGATTTTGCCAGCACAGGACATCAACGCTGCCACTGTAGTTTCCAGCTTATGAAGCAATATTCTATGAAGATGCCACATTGTGTTTTTTAGTTACCTTGTGATCAGGGTTAACGTTAAGCAGCAGAGGTGGGATCATGCTAACAGCCTCCTGACGACTGATGTTTCCCTTAAAAGGAGAAAAAAATAAAATCATTTAACAGGAGAAAGCATTTCTTTTGTGACAGATTTTTTAAAACTCTGGGAACAAAAATAATGAAACAGTCAAAAACACAAACTTGGCTTACAAACTCAGGGTTAAATTTTAGCATATAAGTAGTATCTCATCAAGATGAAGTTTCTGAGAACTTCAGATTTACTCCATCTGCATTAACTCTACAGATCTAATTTCTGCTCAGATGAAATCAGAAATTTACTTCAACCAAGTAAAAGTGAGAAACACCCATCACTAAGGGGAACTTTTTGTAATACACACACACAGCATTTACCATACTCAAACACCTGCCTGTTTAACAAGCAGTAGTTATAAGCCGGGGGTGTTCACTAGGAAAAGGGTCTAGGGAAGGATCTCAGTATGTAAAGGGTAGCCATAAAAAAAAGAAGGGAACAGACTTTTTAGCACGGTCTGTTGGGACAGAACAAAAAGAAATGATTTCAAACTGGAAGATAAGAGAATTAGATTGGATATTAAAAAAAAAAAAGAAAAACTTTTTGGTGAGGCAATAGTACTGGGTTCCCAGAAAGGTGGCCAAAGCCTCTTTTCTGAAGGGGCTTTCCCTTTCAAGGTCAGGCTAGACAGAGCCCTGAGCAATCAGACCCAGCTGAGGGTATCCCTGTTTACTGCAAGGGAGTTGGACATTTTAGGGTCCCTTCTCACTCAGACAATTGTATTTCGGAGGCATGAGATCTCACACCCCCAAACCAACAACATGGTTGCTTGCTCAGGAGAAATATAACTGTAGGGACGTAGCAGAGGTACAGGATGAATTGCTGTCAACAGCAACACAAGACTCCACTTTTTCTGAGCTAGTCAGTTTCTGATGGGTATCACTGCAATTTCTGACACCGCACTGAAATAAAGATCTGCCCGGAGTGCAAAAGAAGTACCAAGGTCTGAACTTACACACTCTGTCTCGCTAACCAGAAACTGATGAAACCTCTCCAGCTGCGGTGACTTACGCAAGATTTTTCTACTCAGGTTGGTGTGCCACGCTAACTCCTCTGGATACCTGCAGAAAGGAAGGGGAAACCAAAGGCAAAAGGCTGCAGACCAGTCTGGCACAGCAGTTGCAGAAGGCCGGATGGGTGCCTCACCCCAACAGCGGGCTTACCAGCTCAGCGCCTGCGGCATTTCCACCTTCTGTCCGTCGACCTCCAGGTGCTGCAGCTCCCGGAAGTACTTCTCCTTCAGGCAGTGCAGGATCTCCCTGGCGTGGCTGCAAGGCACGGCGCGGTGTCTCAACGGCCGCTCCCGGCGCGTCCCGGCCCTCCCCCGGCCCCGCTCACCTCTTATAGCCGGTGATGCGCAGCGTGGCGGGCAGCGGCTCCCGCAGCGCCGCCATGAAGGCGTCCCACTCGCCGTCGGGCACGATGCGCTGCTCCCGGTAGTACCGCTCGAACAGCTCGTTCTCCTTCACGATCTCAGGGTAGCCGCCGGTCCAGCCCTACAACCAGCGCGGCCCCGTCAGCACGCCGGCCCACCGCGGCCCATTCCGCTCCCGCCCCGCCTCTCACCGCTTGGTCGTCGCCGCCGCCGCTCCGCTCCTGGCGTTGCTGCGGCAGCAGCTGCCGCCGGCGATCCCGCGCCCGGCGGCCCATAGCGAGCAGACGCCTGCCGACCCCCGCCGTCGGCGCGGCAGCTCCAATTCCTCTTAGCGACTCTACGGGGCACCGACCGCACCACGCGCCTCACGTCCACGCGCGCCCGCCAGCAACGCGCGTGCGCCAGCCCGTCCCTACCGCTCCTTCCGGGCTGCGCTACCGCCGGCCCATTTCCGCTCATGGGAACCGCCGCGCCACCTGCCCCGCCCCCCGGCTCCTCCACCAACCCACGGCCGGCGTGAGGCTCCGCTCCTCTGCGCCGATTGGTCCGCGATGTCGGTGGGCGTGCCGCGGTCTGCCCGATGGATGGAGGCGCCTCGGGACATCTCGGCTGGATCGGGCATAGCGCGACATGGCAGGCGGCGGCGCGTTCTGCGCGTTTTGGCAGCGGGCAGCGGGCCCGCGGGAGCAGCGCCTGCTGGAGCTGCTCTCCTACGGGCTGGTGGCGCTGGGCGCTGTCTCGGCGCTGCTGTTGCGATTCATCCCCATGCCCTACGGGCGCTACTCGTCGCGGCGCTTCGGCTGGCTGCTGCCTGCCCGGCCCGCCTGGCTGCTGCAGGAGCTGCCCGCGCTCCTCGTCCCGCTCGCTCTGGCTGCCTGCATCCCCGCCTGGCGGCTGCCCAACGCCGTCCTGCTGAGCTGCTTCATCCTGCACTACGTGCACAGGTGCGGGCGGTCGGGGCGGCGCTCCGGGGTGCCGCGCGCTGTCGGATCTCGGCGGTATGGAACGGGGCAGCGATACGATAAGGGCTTTCGGCGCAGTCCTGCTTACAGCTGCTGTGCTGGGCTGGCAGTTTTGCCGGCGCTGCGAGCTTGAGCCGTGCCGTGGGGTTGATGTGGTGGCTCTGCGAACGGGACTGCGCCTCCGCTTCCCGTCCCTCCCTTTGTAAAAGCATGAATGGCTTTGGAATGGGATCTCGGCGTATCGTTACTGTATAGGAAAGCTGGAATCAGCAGGCAGATGTGTGGCAATATCGTTTTTGTGATTACATAATGCCGGTGGGACTGTTTCGTTAGTGGTGGCGTACTGAGAAATAGCTCTCGTCGGCTTCGGTTTGTCGTAATGTGGTAGACTCGGCATAATCAGGTCAATTAATGAATTCATTATGCTTTTTCTTTCAAACCACTGGAGTTTTGCTTCTTCTGTAAGTAACTGGCGATAGGATGAGAGGGAATGGCTTCAAGTTGCAAGAGGGGAGGTTCAGGTTGGTTGTTAGGGCGAATTTCTTCTCAGAGCAGTGAGGCGATGGCACGGGCTGCCCGGGGGGGTGGAGGAGTTGCTGTCTCTGGAAGTGCTGAAGGAATGTGTGGATGTGGCACTGAGGACATGGTGAGGATGGGCTGGCAGTTGGACTGGATGATCTTCGTGGGCTTGTCCAGCCTTAATGGCTGTGACTCTACTGATGCTTTGAGGCAGGAGTCCTCAAGTCAGCTGGCAGACACCTGAAGAACATTCACACTTCTGTGATCCCAGTCCTGTATTGTTATAGATCCCAGTTAAATCAATACGTGATCAGGAGTTGGCTCGCTGTACGGGGTAGAGCACGTAAACATTCACTTGCTTTTCTTGTCTGGAGTTTGTTTGTTTGCTCATTTAATCCTCCAGGAAGAGCCATTGGGATTTCTTGCCCAAATGGAATGACAGCTGTGGATTTGTCATTTCTGCAACAGTTTTCTTGGGGCATTCTGAGACTGTCAGAGTGAAGCAATTAATATATTTCAAGTGACTTCTAGGGCCAGGAGGCAAGAGAGCTCTATTAAGTTACTTTCAACGGGATTCTCTTTCTCTTTTCTTTCAAAACCATGAATATTCCACACTTGACAATCCATCTTCTGTGAATGGTTTCATAGGCCATATAGGTAGAGAAGCTGTCAAAACACCTGCTAGATTATCACATTTTACGATGAAGCAATAGTATAACCTGAGAAGCTAAGCAGGTGATTCACCAGTTGTCCTGTGCTCTGGCTTCCCTGCAGAAGTGCCTACAGTGTGTAAAAGTACACAGGTGTGCCCCTACGCTTGTTGGTGTGTTGTCTGGTCTAGCTATAATTATTGTTTTTATTTGTTCTGATGTTTCAGCTCAGCAGTTTGTAATGCACTTGTCCATTTTCTTAGTATCTTACTCACTGTATGGTGCCTTATTCCATACAGATAAGGATGACAGAGCTGTTTGTTGAGAGATATCTTGGTTAGGTAAAGTATTATCATCTACCACAATGCCTTTCACGTTGATGTTGTCACCTGAAAATCCTGATAGGCTTTGCGTGTAGGGTTTATGAGACCGGGTTCATTTCAGAATACTTGATTATGCCACTTAAGGTTGAGGAATAAAGCAGGAGAACATTATGTTGTGTTGAACATCATTTGTCTTTGCCACTCCAATCAGAGTAATTGCTTTGGATACAACGCTCAAAATTTCTGCTGTAAGCAGCCGGGGGAGGATTGATCTCTTAACTGTTGTTAGACAACAGATTGAATATTTAGGTGCTAAAACAAGTGTAACTTTCCACCTGAACTGAGATCAAAGACTGCTGAGAAATTGGCAAGCAGGATATGGTTTATGGATTGCAAGTCTGGACGCTGAAAGCATCCTTTAGGTTTATTTATGCAACAGATTTTCTTTCCTTGTTTGTTATAGGGCACTCATATTTCCTTTTCTGATCCGGCAAGGAAAGCCAACACCATTTTTCACCTTCCTACTAGCACTTCTCTTCTGTATATACAATGGATATCTGCAAGGCCGAAGCTTAAGCACCTATGCAGAGTACCCTTCAGACTGGTTAAAATGCCCTTGTTTCATTGCAGGTAAGTTAAAATATCCTATGAGAACATTAAGAGTAGAAATTTCCCTTTATCTTCACAGGTTTTTTTTTTTTGTTGTTGTTTTTTGTTTGTTTGTTTTTTTAAAGCTGAAGTTATAATACCTTCAATCACATTTTAGATCTTTTTTTCACAGCATTCCAAATAAGCTTAGATATCTTGTTTGCTGTAGTATAGCTGAAAGCTTTCTAATCCTATTTTTTTTATTTTATTTTATAGTTGTGAACTGAGAATTTTTTCTCTGGTGTCAGCACTAGGTGAGCTTACTTTGTTCTTTGACACCAAAGTGAATAAGAATATATTATGTCACTATTGAGGCCGTAAGTGGAAGTTGCAGTTCATGGGTTTAGAACAAATCAGAGATTTTCCACATAACATACTGATTAAACTAAAATTCCTTTTTTTTTAATTGATGTCACAGATATTGAAGGTTTGTACATGGTCAAAAAAAAAAACAAATTAATGGAGTTATGGCAGGTGATGAATAGCAGCATACCACTTTTAATGTCAAAAGACTGTCATAATGCTGATGTACTTTGTCAAAGAGCAAAACTGCCCCACAATGATAAGTTGATGGGGTTGATCATTCAGCCCTATGGGGAGGTTAGGTTATAGTTACTCTTGGAGCCAAGCATGTAATTAATAGAGTAAGATGACCTCATTGCAGCCTTCCAGTTCCTAAAGGGAGCCTACAAATAGGAGGGAAGTCAACTCTTTACAAAGACAGATAATGGCAGGACAAGGGGAAATGGTTTTATGTTGAGAGAGGGAAGATTTGGGCTGAATATTGAGGGGAAGTTCTTTACAGAGAGAGTGGTGAGGTGCTGGAATAGGCTGCTCAGAGAGGCTGTGGATGCCACATCCCTGGAGGTGTTCAAGGCCAGGTTGGATGGGGCCCTGGGCAGCCTGGTCTAGTATTACCTGTGGAGATTGGTGGCCCTGCCTGAGGCAGGTGGGTTGGAGCTTGATGATCCTTGAGGTCCCTTCCAATCCTGGCCATTCTATGGTTGAATCACCCTGGTGATTCTGTGTTTGCATGAAGTATTCCTTGCCATGTTTTTTGTTTCCTAAGCATCTACTTTTACTTACTGTCAAAAATAAAACCATTTTCCAAGGTAGTCTTTAAAGAAGGGTCTCTGTGGTCTGAAGATAAGCCAGAATATTTTCTCTTCCAGAATCAGAGCAAGTTAGTGTTTCTCACAGATTTCTCATGCCTTGTATAGCAAGAATAAGGAAGTTTGGCCTTTACTGCAGAGTTATTGTGGATGGCAACAGAGGATCGCTGTGCTAAATGCTGTAATGACTGCGATTAATCTATTTAAATTTCTTCATCTTGTGAAGAGTAGGAAGAAGTACTGTATGTGCTCTAAAAATGGAGAATGTGAGGTACAGGGGAATATCTTCAGTGGGAGGTAGGCAACTAGATGGCTGTATCTGTAACTCTCTCGGTACTTTTGAAACTTCAGTCTCCTTACATTTGGTTCCAAAAAAAAAAAAAAAAAATCGAAAAATCAGCTGATCAAAACTTGAAAAGACAAATGCAATACAGAGTATAAAACTTCAGCTTCCGGTATGCTAATCCAGTACCTTAATCAAAAGGTGATCTCAATGCAGTGCTGTAAACATGAGTCATGAGCCATAAATTAATGCCTCCTCGCTGCAAGATCTTTTAAAATGCTATGTGATAAGCCTTGCTTGATCTTCCTTCTTTGTTTTTTTCTTTGTGTTTTTGCTTTTTTAAATGCTCTTTTTTCAAAGATTTTTGAAAGATACAAGTTAATAAATGGAAATATTTAGGTTCAGCTGCCTTCAGTTGTGAACATTTCTGTGTAGGAATTTTGTTTGCAAGTAGTACTAGTTTAGAATATATTTTTATATGTACTTCCTGTACTGCTAGTCATAAGACGTGTTGCTTTAATGACTATAAGAACACCTTTTAAGTCAAAAATATTGCTTTAGATCCCCTGAAAAGGGGGAGGATGTGGGAAAAGTGGATATTTTTTATATACTTTGCATTTCATTGCAGTGCTATCCCTCAGTAGATCTTATATGAAGTTATATAAAGAACAAAAATGGCAGTGTGTCAGTATGCAGCAAGACCAATTAAGTTCTGTAACGCGAAGCTGAAATGAGATAAATTTGCTGTGAAGACAGAAATTAGGAAAGGTCAGGCTAATTAAACACAGTAGTGGGAGTTTGCAGGGAACTGATGTGTTTTCTATTTGTGCATCCTTACTGAGTGTCTGTTTGCAGGTCTATAAGAGTTCATTGATTTGGAGCAGTTTCGTAGCT